TCTGCAGTAGGCAGGATGGCCATCCCCCATGATGAGCTGAATTACCAAGCCAGCTGACCAGGCAGGACAGGAAGCAGCACTTTCAGGCAGAGAAATGTGTGCTCAGCTCCACTGAACAGCCTACGGGTGCTTCTGAGCTCTGGCTCCCCACAGCAGGAGCCAGGCTGCTTTTCATTTCAAAGAGACCACAATCACCCACCAGCTTCACTTCTGGCTTCACTGAGTTCAGCCACTTGGCTCCTTCTTACTGCATTTTCTTCTCTGTGTCAATTGGCACCCACTGAAGAGAAGGTAATGTTGCTCTTGGCCCCCATGGGTGTTGATAAGAAAAGGATTTAATTTCAAGAGACTAATTTGGAACCTCCAGAATTCAAAGGATATAACAGCAAGTTGCTGCTCGAGAGGTGACCAAGACTTCTTGTGACCCAAAAAAAAAGAGATTAATACTGTCTGTAGGGGGCTACTGTGGGACTATGGTAATGTGTGGGTTCCTTTGAATATATGGCAAAGATGTTTGTGTCTAACATCTTTTCATTTCCAACTGAAAAATTATCCCTTTTCTTCCCCTTCCGCTTGCTCAGTGTACTACCTGTGGGAAAAGAAATCAAATTAGCATCTCTGTTTTTTCCAGCTTTAGGGGGAAAACTATCAATAATGTTTATTTTATAAACCACATATAGAAAACATATTTTTCAATTGCTAGAATTATTATGTCAGTTTAAAACTGTTATGTTTCTAATTGATGCAGGAGTTATAATTAAGAGAAAAAGCGGAGAAATTCCATGCCCACTGGCAGTTGAAGCCTTTGCTGCTCACCTTAGCTATATCTGCAAATATGATGATAAATACAGCAAGTAAGTAAGAAGATGTGCATGTTTATGTGTACTTCTTTCACACCTTCTCTGTTGCTGCAAGGTTTGAGTTCATGTTGAGCTGAATCCAAGGGCCCAATGCTGCTTTCGCTGAGTCTTTGACAGAACTTCTGTTTAAATCAAAGATCAGATGCTGGCTCTGCCCAAAGCAAGAACTGCATTGCTGGTATTGGTTTGGCTCTATCCACTCATCCATCAGTCAAAAAAAAAGAAATGTTGAGACACAGGTCCTCTGCATCTTATAAATTACTTTTAAGAAGTGATGGGAGGATGAGCCAGCAGACTGATAGAGAAATCAACAAGGGTCTAGCAGCCCCACAAGTCTCTCAGGCTAACTCAGCTCTCCACCTCTAACAGTAGATGGTTGATAATCTGTCCTGGTGATATTTGCATCACCTGGAGCCAGAAGAAAAAAGACATTCATTCACACATGTAAAGCTGATCTATATATGATGAAAGAGCAGAATGTGTAACTTTTGGCTCCTGAATTCCAGTTGGTGTCCTTGGTGTTAGCTCTTAATGTAGCAGGGAGGAACAGAAGTGAATAAGAATAGCATTAGTGAAGCTTGGCTGTGGGAATAGCAATGAGGTGCAGAAGATTTCAAGAACTAGAAATTGAGAAGAGAGAAAAAGCAGCATGGATTTTTCAAGCCAGTTCTGGGCAAGGCAGCAAGAATTCAGTAGAATACATGAAAGAGGAGGAGGTGGTCGCTGGAGGATGATGTTGGGATCTGATCTGAGGAAACCAATGCAGAAAAGAGCTGGGGTAGTAGATTTAAATGGTTACTAAAAAATCAAAGTAGGAAAATGAGAGAAGGGGAAATCTTATGACTGAAGAGAGAATATTCTGGCAGTCCTAGAATTAGTCAGAACCTAAATATAAAGATATCAGTTCTTTCTAGTTCTGCCTTGTGGTCCACCTACCAGCAGTGTACGCTCTCGCTCTACCCCCACATCCTCCCACCTACTGTTGACAGCAGCAGCAATCATTCTTTGCTCACAATAAACATGAGGAGAAGCATCAGCAAGCTTTCCAAAACTGTAATGTAATGTGACTGAGGCTTTTTTTTAGTTACAAATTGAAGGGATTCAGACCTACAGCTCCCTCCTCTACATCACAAGGATATTTGTCATGGGTGAGCTCAAGGAATGTTTATCACTACTCTTATTGACGTGGAGTGATACAGAGGTGAGAGTATTGCTGCAGTTTGCTTCTGAGAGCAAGGAGGTCTGTTCTTTTACACACTAACAGAAATCTCCAAAATTGTGCAAATTTGCTGTAAATGACTGTCAAATACATTGTGCAAAATTTCTTTAAATAGTACTTCAACCAAGCATTAAATCCCAAGTCTGCTTCTCCTTTGGGACTGCAGGATCTTTGTCTGGGGTGATTTCTTGCATCCCAGCTGCAATTGTTTGGCTGAACAGTGTTTTTCTCTCCTTTCTTGGCTTTTAGGTATTTCATTTCTCACAAACCAAACAAGACCTGGCAACAAGTGTTCTGGTTTGCCATCAGCATCGCTATAAATAATGCCTACATCCTCTACAAAATGTCAGAGGCCTACCATGTGACAAGGTACAGCCGCGCACAGTTTGGTGAAAGACTTGTAAAGGAGCTTCTGGGCTTGGAGGACACCTCACCCACCCATTGATGCTTTGCTCTTGGTGGCGTAGGCAGGGGCTGGAGGGAAAGCAGAAGATACCACACCTGGAGTGGCAAAGCAAGGAACTTGTGACACCACCAGTGCTGTCATCCAAAAATGCCAAGTGATGCCACTAGAGAGGTGCAAACTGTGCTCCTAGTATCAGCTGGATGTAAACATGCAGAAGGTGGCACTGGAAAAGCTGACACAAAATGCATATGTGAATGCCCTGTGGGAATCTGTACACCCAAAACAGACTTAAATTAGCCATCATCTCAATGCTATTTGTTGAACAGGGTCATCTTGTAAAGTTCCTCTTGGGCCAAGAGCTTGTCAGAAGCTGGCACAGCTCAGCAGTCCTAGACAGGTATTACAGGAAACTCTGCCCTTCCTTGGAGTTACTGAATTGCGGGACAAGCCCCGTGAGGCTGCACTGTGGGCTGTGGCTGAGCGCGGCTGCCGTCCTCCGCTGGGACAGGCGGAGCAGCCCAGCACAGGAGCACTGCAGCAGGCATCTTGACAAACACCACCTTCACAGGCAGGCAGCCAGGAACTGAAGACCAGTCGTGACTTTTTCTTTCTGTGTTTTTTTTTTTTCCCCCCCCTTGTTTTGTTAATGTAACATAAGACAATTTGATCCCAGTTAGAACACAGGAGAATTAGGAGAAACCCATTACATCAGTGAATTTAAAATGACAAATACATTACACTGATTTTCTTTTTTAACCAGGATGAAATGTTTTATACATAAACAGTGTTTAATACTGTAAGTATTAACAGTGAGTAAACCAGTAAGTAATACTGCCTCACATCTTAACTGCCACGGTCAGTGTACAGGTGAGAAATCAAAATATATCAACTATATTTTTTCTTGATTTCAACTGTATCTTAAATGTTGCTTAAATAGCTAATGTAATGGACTGTTAAAGTTTTAAGAACAGCAATTTCTTGCTTTTTCTTTGGTAACTGTCAAGACCTTTTTGGTCCACTTTAGAATTTTGTTTGGCGCACAGTTGGCAGAGGAAAAAAAAAGTCACTAATAGCCAAGTGTTTCCTATTATCACTGTGGGGTGTTCTGTAGGAATTCTTTTTGGTAGAGTTCAGGGCTTGTCACAGTAGTTGTAATTAAGCAGATTACATGTTTAGCAAAATAACGTAGCATTGTGTCTTAGAGAAGGAAAGAAGTCCAGTTGCAACCAACCTTAAACCTTGTTAAAACAGAGCAAGCTCAAAGAGTTCTTCTGTTCTCAGTGACACTGTAGAGGACAAGCATCATCGTGAGCTGGTGGCCAAGGCCATGTTTTGGTGCTTGTGGAATTTGGAAGTCACTGGAGTTTCAGAAAGCAATGCCAAGAGAGAGGTATGATTGAAACCAGGGAATCAATACTGAGGGGAAGTACTACCCTGCCCTCTACACTTTATTGATTTCAGTCCACAACTCATCAAAAAACTCCATATTCTGAAGGTTAGCAATGATGAATTGCATTAATTTACAGGGCAAAAACCATGTTGATTAGAGGACCCCAAGCCTGAAAAGTTTTACTCCCAAAGAATGACTTGAGTTGATTCAAGAGGAATGGAGTGAATGATTGATTTATCAGTGTAAATCTTACCAGGTTACATGTATCTGTCTGACAAGAGGCAATAGAAGGTAACCAGCATAAATGTGGAAACTCCTCAGATTTCATCATTCTGTGATGTGCAAATGCACAGCATGTAAATAATAACAGAGGAAGAATCCAGCAGGGGTTAGTAAATGAATGACTAGCCCATGGAGTATCCTTGCACTGACACCTTTCTGTTTCCACCAAAGTCTTAACTGTTTGGCATAGACCTAAAGGCAGATCTCCCCTGGTTGCAAGGAGAGAAGGGGATGGCCAACTCCATGGTGGTTCTGCTCATGCTACAGCTTGGAGCTTGTCCCACACATCCTGCTCTGCCTGCCAGCTGCACAATGAACAGCAGAGGCATTCCTAAGCCTCCTTTTCACTTCTCAGTCCACAAGGTCTCCAACCAGGAAACATGAGAGAAAGGACTTTGTGCACTGAGGCCTCCACAAAAGAAGGGGGTGGGTTGGTACCACTCTAGCCCTTGACAATGCCAAGCTGCACAGGAACCCAAGGATGAGTTCAAAATTTCTTGGCCCTGCAGAGAACTGAGACCACCCCTCTTCAGACTGAGTGTGTTTGATAGCTGGTTCTTGTCAGTCTTCTAAGTATTCAAAGGCAGAAAGCAGCTAGCCTGAAGCATGAAAAATACACGTTCAGCAATATAAACCTACAGTTTCCTTTTTTTTCAGGAAATTACAGAGAGTGTTCTTATTGCTCCCTGCTTCAGACAAAGCCAGCCTATATTGGATCAGGAAGTGTAGCTACTAGCTCGTTACATCCCATAAATTTATATGGTAGTTAAAACTGGGGCAGTAAGGAAAAGTTATGCTGAAACTTTGCTGATAGGATGGCTTAAATGAACAGTAGCTGCTTCCTTACACTCCCATGCCATGCTGGAGTATGTGCAGGATACCCATGAGCCCAGCAGACATGGGATGTTTTCCAAGACCACCTTGGAGCCACTTGGCATTTCTGAGGAGCAGGCAGACCACTCTCCAGCTATGCTGTAGGCCCCTGGGATAAATCTGGAGCCCTTGGCCAATTGTTACAGAACTATGTATGCTTAAAGGCCTGGATCTAGGCCATCCCATACAGAAAATGCCTTTTCTTTTTTAGGTGACAGTAGGCTTGAGGCCTTGGAATATTTAACTTTTCACCAATGTATGCAGTTAATTATGTGGATTACTTGAGCTCAAATCATGAGATCCTAGCTTTTTGCCTCAGGGACTGGGTCCTGAGTAGTTTTCCCTAGAATTGGTGTTGACGGGGGATTACACAGTGGCTGACTATTACAGGGAAGATGCTTTAGTCTCCTTTGTAAAGGAGAAAAATGAAGACAAAATTATAGCTTTGCAATGAATTTCATTTTCTTAGCCTTAACTATCCCTCATCATTTTGAACTGTTGTTCTTATCATGCACAAACATTCCATAATTAAGCAAAAATATTTATATATATTTGTATGTACAAAATGCCTGGATTTTGGCTCTCGAAGCCAACAAGCAAAAGCCACCAAAGTCTAGTCTATATCTACAGATGACTCTTCCCCTTCATCTTTTCCTTTTATTGACTGGAAGTGGATAGGGCTGGGGGAAAAGTTAAGATTTCTCCTTGCTGAAAAAGCATCTTGCACTTTTTCTGTTACAACAACCAAGGCAAAGGAATTAAAGAAGATACAGGATAATTTTTAAAAGGCTAAAGTTTGTCAATTGCAGCTCAGCCTGTGTAGGATTATTTCCTTTACTGCAAACTGGCTTACTCAGATTTGGTTCCCCACCTGCTTGTAACATTAAAGCTTCTCCCTAATTAAAGGGGAGAAAAAAAGTCTCAAAGTAGTGCAAGGATGCTCGTTATAGTGTGTGTGTGTCTAATTGTGCAATAGCTTGTGAAATGATAGTTTGGGTTGTTTGTAGCCTTAAGACAATCTGGGTAAGAGATCTGAGAACTCAGCAGTAGGTAAAATGCAGTCGAAATGCTGACCAGGTCACAGAGCAATGTCTCTAAACTTTTTCAGGAAAAAAAAGAAGTTTGACACTGAAGTAGTGAAGGGAGCACAGCACAGCTCCTTTCTCTCCTTCTGAATTGAATTTTCACTGACTGACGTGTACTTCTAAAAACTGATAATTACTTGTTCATGGTATGCAAACTTTGTTTCAAAGAACCGAGACCATCAGTGAGACGTACCGACCACCTTCTATGCACAGTTCTTTCAGGAAATGTCTGTCGTGCCACGATCCATTCTTGGAAAACATTTCTTCTCCCAGTGTGTAATACCGCTCTTGCCAGAGCTTAGAGGCCACTGGGAAGTGGTTTCCACTGTTGTCTCAGTTGAAAAATGCTTCAAGGGCTTGCAGGAATTCTGCCACTTTTTACTTCAGCCCATCTGTACACTTGACAATAGGGCACAATTTAAAGAAATCTCATCTCCATTTTCTGTTTCTATTCTCTATCCCCAGCCCTTCTCTATACATTTAGTCTAGGAATCATGGTTTATAGAAGTACAACTTTGTTTTCTTCAGAGAAAATTGAATTTAGCAACTCAAAAACAGCATTCCTGTTCTTTACCTCCAGCTACATTTCTGTGACCTTTTTTTTCCTGAAGATGTTATTTTCTTTCTAACAGTTATTTGGAAGTCTGTCTTGAGCTGGTGAGTAGTGAAACAGGCCTCCAGTATCTCATTCTTCCACACCTTAGTCCGCTCGTGCTAGAGCTGATTCACTGACGAGGGGGGGTTATGCTGCTTTGATAATTCTGTGCATCTCTGGTACTTTCCAAGCAAGGATTGCAAAGTGCTGTAACAACCTCAGCACTCGTGAGACATCATTAGCTTATCAAAGCTCCTCTCCTACCAGACACCAAGGCACAGCCTAGATAAGGGGGGTGGTGAAACTGTAGAGTTTGCATTCCTGCTGATTAAGGCCATGTTCTGTGTTTTCTGTGACTTGGTTCTTGTTCAAAAGCACTTTTCCAAACTAGAAATGAAAGCATGCCAAATATCATTTCCCCCTAAGTAAGGGGGACTTAGCACAGATTCCTTCATACAGGCTGGCATGAGTCAAAACCAAATTGCACTAAAGGTGAGAGAAAATTTGATAAAATGTAGAAGCCCAGCAAGCCTAGAAGATCTTAGAAGAGATAAATGGAAAATCTGAAACTCTGCAATAGTCCAGTAAACAGTGTGAAATTCAGACAGATAATGACTGAGATGAGAAAAGTCACTGAGGCTTAGATGGAATATGAAGTCTTCCATCCACCTCTGTTACAGAGTTTGCCATGGTACTTTCTTCAAGCTCAGACTGATGTAAGATTGGTTGTTTGTAAAACAAGCTCATCTCAGTCTGGCTGAGAAAAAGATTCAAGTGTCAAAGGCCTGTTCACAGTTTCACAAAGGCAAGGAACTCTAAGTTCAAAGCAGGTATATATTTGGCCTGCTGTTAACTAGGATACTTGCACCAACACATCACATCATCTACTCAAAAGCAAGCCTGTCATCAGTACTACTTGATATATATTCATTCTTATTCCAGTTCTTCATAAACTTACCTTAGTTTCCAGAAGGATCATGAACTGGAAGCACCTCTGTATCATCACCTCACTGTTGGGAAACAGCTGAGAACAGCTGTGCTTTGTAAAAAGAATCTTCTTCTAAGTGACATCTTTGGAAATCCAGCCCTGGAGAAACTTTCTGCCCCACACTTTCCTTCGCTTCCCTCATTCCTTGCATTTAGAGCATATCCAAGGCTTCCTGAAGGTTCTTGGTCAGTCTGGAAGACTTGACAACACAGAGTTGCCCTTCAGTTTACTTTTGCAGCATGGCTTTGCTGGTCCTTTCTGCTGTTTTGCAGATCTCAGATGAATGAAGCAGGGTATTGTTTCTGCAGGCTGTTCCAATTGCAATCACTGTGAAGGTGTTGTCTACTTTGCTCCACTAGTGCTGCCCCAGAAGGTTTGGATGGACCCCAGAGAGGTTTCAGCAGCACCACACCCACTGCTCCAGCTGCAACATTCCTCAGCTCTGCATTGCTGTCATAGAGAGACCTTTGACAGGGTCTGGGGATTTTCTTTGTGTCTTGCTTTGTTTTTTGAAGCCCTTTCACTCTGATGGGTTTGGTGAACAGCTGTTAGGTATCACGAAAAGGCCTTAAGTGGTAAATCCCTTTTGTATCACACTTTAGAAGTAATAATTGCTTTATTGGATGACAAGGTGGTCCACGTGGTGTGTAGTGCGAAAACCTTACCCACAAAAGCATCATTTTCTGTACCTGGAAAACCTTGGATGGCTGGGTGAGGAGCCCAGTGGCAGAGGACTGTCATGCTGTGCTGTAGGACCGTTATGTGCAGGACCTGACTGGGGAAAAAAGCTGGGGAGATACAAGATCACAAATTGCAATACAAGCTCCTTGGACAAGGAGACTTCATAGTCAAGCTGGTCTCAGAAGTTTTTCTAGGAAAGGGAAAATGCCAGGCCTGTGCAGTTTGCTCCCAACCCTGGCAACTCTGTTTCTATAATAAACACTCCAGCAAATGCTTTCACACTTCAAGTATTTACACTGTGCTCTGGCCTTCAGAGCATTTTGACCTATTTCCACTAGGTCCCCCCAGAAAGCCTAGAAATTGAAAAGCAAAGCACAGTGCACTAGGTTCGGCTGTCCAGAACCCCAACCCACTTGTGTCAAAGTAACTTTGTGGTCTTGTTCTCAAATAATCTGTGTCAAGGCATTTGCAAAACGCTGACTGCTGAGCAATTTGCATGTCTCTGTGAAACATAGTTGTTCATTTGATGGAAAACAGGTTGCAGGTCTCTCAGACTTATTTTGCAACCTGGATTTTTCTTCTGGACACAAACCAAATCTTTGCTTGGTATTTCAGTACTGAAATAAAAAAACAGCTTGATCCCATGGTCTGGGGTGATGTAAGAGATAACAAAACTCAGGTTTATGCCAGTGATTAATCTGATCCTGTAAAGGTGAGGCTAATCAGCATGGTCGGACACGAGGAAGAGTTCAAGGGTAACAGTGGGTTTGAGAAGGCAGAGAAGAGTTCAGAGGATGGGCACGTGGAGGGAGAGGAGCCAGGTGATCCCTTCTAACTCTCATCATTCCAGCATGTTTACCCCCTTCTCCTGCTGCCTTTGAATTAAAAGAAAAGGCTGATGTTTAACATAACCAGTCTGCATAGCTGATTTAGTAACACAAACCCTGCTTTAGCTACATCCCTGGCCTCACTGCAGGCCTTTCCTTAGACTATACATGTTCAGTAGTCATCAGCCTTGGAGTCACAGCACTGCTGCATGTCAGCACAGCATGGAAGCTAAAGATCATGGAAGCACCACAGTAGAAACAGGAACAGTGGGGATTCCAGAGAAGGAGTCTCCCCCTCGACATTTTGTTTTCATTTATTTTTCAATGTGTGCAACTTACATTCCATCAAATGCAGTGACAGTTCCAAATGCGAAGATGGGCCTTAGCTGGCTGAGTGCTTTCAAGACCGCTGGGCTGTGCTCACACCATCAGCAACTGCGGTTCTGTTGCAAAGTTCCATATTCTTTATAATTCTAAAGATTTCTGTTGAAAACATAAATTACAGAGGTAAAGTATTCACTGTAAATGACTTTTTTTTTTTTTATTTTTATTTTAAAAATCTTCTCAGAGCAATTTTATAACAGCCAAGTCTTTCAGGAAATGCAGGTGTGTGACCTCTTCACAGTAAGAGACACACAACTGTGTTTCTGCATGGGACAGGGAACTACTTTTGTGACACCGGTTTTGTTCTACACAAAGGCACGCTTGCAATAAATTTTTACAAGTTTTGTACACCATAAGCTGAATTCCGAGTTCCAAAAATGTGAAGTGTGGCAACAATAACAAAATGGATTTATAGTATCACTCTGATATCTTGTCATGTGATTTTATTTCTTCAACAAAGTTTGTTTACAATCAACAACTTTGAAATACAGTCAGATATATTACCCGTTGCTTTTCCTGTCTTGTTCTTTTCTGAAATAGGTGGGGAAGATGTTTGGTCGTCTTCATGTCATCATCATCATGTTTGCTCTGGGTGCATAAGTGAAAGGACGTGGAGAATATACTGCGAGTTACATGTTCACACTCTGAAAACATTGGAATCATAAACCTACCATCTTTATCCAGCCACTGGTGACAAAGGAATTTTCTTTAGTAAGAATTGACTTGAAAAAGCCTTCCAGTGTAGTCTGCACCCAGGCATAGGAAAGGGGACCACTGTCCCCCCCCATGCCATCCTGACCCGACAAGCAATGCTTCCCAGCCACGTCAGGGCAGAGCAGGGTGGACACAAGGACAGAGAGACATGTCCCACCTCTCAGGTATCTCTGCTGAACAGAACCAGCTCACTGCTCAAGCTCTTCCTGATGAGCATTGTCTGTACCAGCAGTGGTAGCCACCAAACCCACAACCTGCATGCCAAACCAGTGGCATTTTCAGGCAAAACCAGACACGTGTGATCTGCAGATGGCAGCTGTTTCACAGCTCCGAGTCACCGAGTTGGTGGGACCTGGTTTAAACCTTACTCCAAGGCAGCAGAAGCCTTGCAGGAGAACACAAGTGGCATTACAGTTGGTCTTTGCCAACAACCATAGTAAGGATTTCCCCCCTGCCTTGGGCTGTGTGGCTGCAGAGGCTCCCCTGGGACCGGGCTGCCCGGCATCTCCAGGTGTGGGAGTGTGGCTCAACACTGACCTCTGGCCAGGGTCTGTCAGGCTGCCATGCCTGATTTGCTCAGGCTGTTTCTTTTCCACATGAAGGAATTGAGTTTGCACCTAAGCTGTGATAAGAAAAAGCCAGAATTCCAGGGAAAACAAAACATTAACAGAAGCAACCAGCAGCAAGCCCCTTAACTTATTTGATATCTTTATGGACTATTTTCTGGAGGTTGCTTAGTATCACAAAAGTGAGGGGGGGGGGCCCAAGAGATTCTGGCTATTCAACACAGCCAAGATCTTAGAAATCTTTTCAATATGTAAGTAGCTGTGCATATATGTAGTATATGTGCAGCTGTGGCATAAACCAAATGAGAATTTCTCCTTGCTCCCTGCCATGGCTGGAGAGTCGTCCCCAGCAGCACAACACTTCGTTCCCTGGATGTGCCATGACCAGAGCTAACGCTGTGTCTGATCAGGCCACACCATCAGAGGTACAATAAGCAATGCAAATCATCTCTAGCACGCTGATTGAATAAAAGAAGGAATTTAATTTATGAAGTTATGAAACCCAGGATCTGATTGACACAGACACACGCGTTACCTTGGCGCTGTCATTTACAACACTGCCGTACATTCAGATCAGGCCAGGGCCTGCAGTAACTCAGTTTCCTGTGGAATTATTCTCAGGAGAATTTGCAATTAATTCCAACAACATGGTCTTTGTTAATTAAGCCAAACTTAACATTCCCTTTTGCAGTGTTTTCTAACATCCTATTGCACTTGTCCCTCTGTCCCCAGAGAGGAACAGAGAGAATAAAAATGCCACCTCACAGACACTGCAGAGAAGAACACCCCCAGCTGTCACCATGTCAAAGCACAGACTCTCCTAAAGCACCCTCACCTGAGATATGAAAAAGCACTTCACAGGCAGTAACGAATGGCATCTCATCAGACCCCTGCAAAGCCATCTCCTCTCTCCTCAGAGCCAGTCTGTGCTGCAGTTCCCTTAGATTGCAGCACAGTCACAGTTTTGTCCTTGGGAATGAGAGGTTAAGAAGTCAATACCCAAAAGGTGATGGGAATTGAGAAGATGGAAACCTCTCTTGCTTCTCTGATATTCCCACTTCCCCAGGTGAGGACTTGGACAGGATTCTTCAGGAACACCTGTGCCAGGGATACTGGTGTGGAATTCATGTATTTCACCAGGGTTTTTTTTCCAATTACATTTCCTGTCACGGGTTCTGCCTGGGAATCTACAGTCCATCCTTCATCAAAGAAGCAAGAGCAGCAGCAAGGGAGGTTCTCAGATTCATGGGGAACTGGCAATCCACAAACTTGGATGAGAATCAGCTCCCCTGAGCAGACGCACTCACCTCCTGCAGCGCAGCCATGGCCCTGCACTGGCCTGGAGGCAGCTGCTACCAACTGCAGTGTGAACATGCCGATGTGCAACAAGCCAAAATATGCTCCTTTTTCTACTTCTGTGGCTCAGGGTTGGAGTGCAACCTTAAAAGAGATGTTAGATACTCTCCTGCCAGATTCAGACTCCCCAAGGGCAACAAGGCGGGATTCAAGATGGCAATGTTGTCTCAGACCCTTCGGGGAAACAGCAAAGCAAACCTCTTCTATCTCTCCTTGACACACACAAGATTTAGAAACAGTCAGCTGCAATGATGCCAAATAATAATCCCCAAAAAATGGAAAAGTTTGAGGGAAAGTGGGGAGGGGAGAGACATTTATTTGCTGTAGGATTAGCGTCTGCAAGGCAGCCACACCAAAATAAATTGCAAATCACTCTCAGGAACTGGAAGTGTTTGTTGCCTACTAGTCTATCAGTATCCCAGCCTTCTCAGATTGAAATTGTTTGGGATAAAGACAAACACATGAATTAATGGGCATAGTTATATCTTGGACATATGGACTGGAAAAGTCGGTCTCCAAGCATAGGCAACTGTATTTGCACCTAGCCACAGAGGAAAGATCCCATCCAACACTTGCAAAGAAAAATGTAATTCTGTGCCTGCTGGTGTTCATCTGGAGTGTGTGTGCTGTTCTTCTCCTTGACACCCCAATTCAGCTTTTTTCAGTCCTCTCCATCACTGTGTCAAACAACTCACCACCACCTAAACCCCACAGTGCTGCTTGTGGTACTGAATGGAAGAGAGACATCTCAACAAGTAGCTTGCATAACATCAGCAGAGCATTTCTGTGTTTGGATAATCACCTTTTTTTTCATTCCTGTCCTGTAATTAATATTGAATAGGTAGAGTGTTCTCTGTTCAGTAAAGCAATTTCAAAAGTGCCACTGCAGAGTTCCACAGTTTGTCTTTTCAGACACCAAGTAATGTCAAGTATTTACTAAATTGGTCACGGATGATCACCCACAGTTTGCAGCCGGGCTGAGCAAGAAGAGCTATTGAATACTGCAAGTCAGGTTTAATAAACTTACTAAAATAGAAGAAATACTTGCACATTTAATGAAGAAAGCGTGTTACTGCAGCCAGGAGCTTGAGGTGTGTGACGCTGGAGTATCTGAAAGGTACTTCAGTAGGACTTAGACCAGCTGTTAAACATCTGTGGCCCTTTCTTGGCCAGAGCAACAAACTGGCCATAGCTTAAATCAATCATCCATACACAGCAGTGTTCTCTTGCCTGAGATGACAGCAGCCGATTCCAAGGTATGGTGCACTACAGTGATTTTAGAAGCTGCCTTTTTTGAACAAAAGAAGCCCCCCTGACCTGGGGCAAGTACACACAAACACATACCAGGCACAGACATTCAAGTGGACTCGGTAGCTGCCAGCAACAGCTTTCTGTTGTTCATGTGATAAGCAAAACAAATCCAGGAACTTTTTCCCACAGGCCAGCATATATAATATGTTTCTTGTGATTTTTCCAGTAGCATCACCACCACATTTCAAGACAGAGTGGTGGTTCAGCAGGCCAGTGGTAAATCACAGATCACGAACAGCTCGCAGGCACTGAGAGGGACTCCTCCGGGATTGCTTCCCCAAAGAGCAGCCTGCAGGGGTGATGATCAGGCTCCCTCTGAGCAAGGGAGAGCAGATCCAAACACAACCGGGCTGCAAGGGAGCTCCCAGCCACAGGGAGCTGGAAATGCTGTCCTGCAGCTCTGTGGGTGGGACCCAGCCTCATGCCTGAGCATCAGGTTTAACCACCAGGCATGCCAGACCCTACTCTTCTCCCCATGTGCTCACCCTACCTGTTGTCTCACTGGTTTTATGGCCCCTGGCCCCAAGCAGATCTGCTTCTGTGCTGCAAATAACCAGATGGCTTTTACGCTACCTGGAAGGAGAAAACTGCAACAGAAAGAGAATGAGAAAGGATTTCTTCTGTCTATTTTCGAACAACTAGGAGATGTTTATGACATGGTGATGTTCCTGGCTGCACGAAAGTGGTGCCCTTTCCCAGCTCTCTGACAGAGCCTCTCTAGCAATGACAGCCTCACAGTAACCTGCAGGATTTCTTTTTGCCTCAGGTAGCTTAACCCAGTTTTTCATGTGGATAATGCAAATCAGTGGTGGATGAGATTTGATGTGGCTGCTGTTCTCTGGGGCTCTACGCAAAGGCTGAAGCACCCAGGAATGTATGGGCAGCTCCACCTTCCTAGGGCAGACTTCTGTAAAAATGGGTGGTTGCAAAGCTCCCTTCCCTCACTGAAAGCAAACCATAACACCTTATCTGAAGTCATGGGAAGTTATACTTGGGGTTCAAAAAGTTGCCCTTCTCTCCTGTCAGCACCTCAGGCCTCACACCTCAGGTGTGACGGAGGCAGTCAGCGGGACACAAACTGCTCCCTAGGCAGGTGACCTAAATCCCGCTTTGCCCAACGATGCTGCAGGGCACTGATGGGGTTTCTGTGCT